ATATATACCTTTTATGTGTACTGCTTGTAGTGCCGCTGCAAAGTGCTGCTCTGCTGAGTCCAGGTCTACTCTACCAAGGGATGATTCGCCCTCCTTTTTGTGGTACTTGTAGCTCCTTATATAGGAATAACAGAGCTCTGGGTTATGTTTCCATGGAGAGCTAGAAAGTTAACATCTGCAAATCAAATGCATAATGTTTACCTTCACATATGGTGTGCTCTGTTAATTCTTACTCAAACACATTCATATATATGATGAAAGGAGTCTAAATCCCTCCTGATATAAAATTACAGCACGATGTAACTCAACACTAGTTACTTACAACATGATGTAACCCAACACTAGTTACCATGGTGACAGTCGTCTGGTTCAGGTCCTTTAAAACCTATAACGTTGAAATTCTATCGCTGTTGCAATTTGATATTCATTACGGGGGCTTTGCAACAATTGATGTAATTGATAAATACTCACCTGTCTCTTAACCGGTCTTCTTCGTCCAATTCTTCAGATCTTTTGCTGTGATACTTTCAGCAATAAACCAGAGTATTATGATATTCTTGTTCTACACATACAAAAGTGCAAGCAGTTATGTTGTTTTAACGTTTTATTTAATTTTACTTACGCAATACATACATACATACAAATGACAAAACATAGAAAACTAGAAAGGCCGACATTTGCTCCCGAGCAAATGGCTTCATCACATCCCCCATAGCAAAAACGGACCTATCCCCTCCCTCACAAATGGATTGTTCCTAAAAGGCCCTATTTTTCACAATTTGAAAGTGTTGTATGTCAAAAGTATGAATGTTTTTTTTGTCGATGTGTGTTTAAGGAGCCCCCATGGTCATTTGGTGTTAATACCAGGGCTCAGAATCACAAAATGTACATTTCTTGCCTGAAAATGGCAAAAAAAACATTTTAAACGCCTTTATGCATAAAATTTAATAAAAAGGGCTGGGGTTTTGGCCCACTCTACCTCCATGCTAAATTTCGTCATTTGGCTGAATAATGAGTTGACCGAATGGCAGGAGAAGACGAAGGAGAAGAAACATGAGAGAAAACAAAACGTTTCAAACACCAGATAGAAAGTTTAACGTACACCACGGATGAAACGATAGATAATAATTAAAAACTAAATATAGCCTAAGACAACAATGCTATAGGATAAGGCAACAATGTTAATAATATCAAATGTAAAAGGCAATAATCATATGTCGTTTTAATTTACAGGATTTATTAAGTGGTCAAGTCTGTAGGATTATACAAATAGCTGCGGCTGTTATTTTTTCCATTTCGATGTTGTTATTGTAAAAATTACAATCATATCGATAATATCTACTCACCATTTTTACGACTTTCTCCATATACAAAACGCGACATTCCAGAGACTCCACAGTCAGTTGTATCGTAGTATACCCACGCATAGTCAAAGCCTTGCTATACATGGCAGCTGCCTTGGGAAACTGGGATAAATCGAAACTTTTTTTGCCGTTCTCGAGGTACAAATCACCAAGAGATTTCAGAGACTCAAGTTCCAACAGCTCATCGCCGTTTGCAATGGCAGTCACTAATGTTTCTGTGTAAAGGTCTTCAACAGAGTGCCAGGGCCTACCGACTCTTCTGTCCAATTTGTCACAAATCTCCGCTACCCTCAGTACGTTGTTAACGTTGTCATCAGTACCTTTGTGGTTTGATGACGGAGTGTACCCATGCAGCAGTTGTCTGCAGAGTTTCTCCATGTAGTTGATACGGTGTCCCAGTGTTTGTTCCATATCTGGATCCATGCAGCGCATAAGGGCAGAGTCATACAGAGCAGCAGCCTTGTCAAACTCTGCCGAATCTTTACCGAGCTTGCCTTTCTGAAGGTGAAGATCTGCAAGAGTTTTCAGGACTTCTACCTCAATAAAATCATCTTTGCGAGCAATGGCATCCTTCAGGGCCTGCCCATATTTCACTGTTTGGCCGTGCCGATTCTTAAGGAACACCTCCAAGTCCTGAAACTTATTTGCCAGGCTGGTCATATTGGTGCTAAAGATCTCCCTAATATCAGTTGTCTTCCTCGAAAAGAGTTGTCTTTGTGCCTTTGGGTGCAAGTCGTTCCGTTGAACATGGCAAACTGTGCGAGTGCCAGATCTTTAGACTTGGTTCTGTAATCCTGTCAACATCTACGAATACTCAACAGGTGGCAGGTATACGTAGCAGCTAGCTTTATGTCAGGTTGCCTCGATCTTACCTGGATGCCTGGAATGACACCACGTACAGCTCTTGGTAGTACACATTTGCCTGTTGTTCCAGTGAGAGTTCTGGTTTTCCCCCTCTGCCCTTGCTGGGACTTTCCATTGCGTCAACTGCCTTTAATAGGGCCGAACAAAATGGCGACCTAACAACAAAAGGCCGCCGGATACCTGATATTCGTATACCCTTTGTTAATTGTAAGGATCATGTACACAGTATGAGGGCCATGCACACAATGGAAGCCAAGTGAGGAGTGTGAATTACGGGTGTGCGTTTTCCATGCACAAGTACTTATAGTAAGCCTTTCTTCGGGAATACGGATCGTAGAATTCCCCAAAATATAGAGTAAAATTGGCCAAGGGAGTAGTTTCTTTCCCTCCTAACTGCGCGGCCAGTCAAACCTACAAGGCGGCCAAACTCCCTTGGCAATTATTCTCCTATATACATAGCCAGCGTAGCTAGTCTGGTAGAGACTATTTATATAGCATGAAAAGTTGAACACATATGTCATTTTAATGCAACTCATCAAAAGTAGGAATGGGACCATGATGCCTTGCAGTGGTTAATGTGAAGGACGAGAGGTGTTCAATCACGTCAGCACTGAAGCAGTATGTTGATTTAGTTAACGTTGAAGGCTCTGAATACCAATTTTCTAGTTTCGAGCTCTGCTCCACAACATCTAAAGCAAAACCCCTTTATCCTTCACCTTGCGGTGCTTAGTTGATATGAATGAAGTGACGTGTTCAATTATGCAAGTTTTCTTACTCAACACGTTAGCACTAAACCTCATAATTAGTCTGATCGTTATGTTATAATCGCCAGAATATTGAGAGTTGTGTGGCAGAGGTACCGTGTAGTACCGAAAAGCAAAAGAATTGCATTAGAATGTATTGTTTCAACATTGAATACTTCATTTTCTATATCTGCTGCTCCCTCTAGACCACATTTTGGTCACTTGTGCATTTAGCAATCTAGACCTGGGCAGTAATATGCAACAAATTCAAAGATTCTTTCATTATTCAGTAGTATTGTTTTGAACTTTCCATGATCCTCCATAGGCATTAGAAGAAACAAGATTTTGGAAATGTGTTCTGCATTGGAGTTACTGAGTACATAGTATATACTTGATTATAGTTTTCACTGTAAATAGGCATTTAGGGTCCTGTTCCAAATGGCATTGAAGATCTTTCTTTAGACCCCCTTTGAAAAACCCCTTTTAAAAAGGAAATAACTACATGTGCAAAGTTTTGTTTTCGTGTGTCAGGGCTTTGGGAGTTATTTCCACATATGCTCGTCACTGTCAGGAAGTTAGGTGGAAGGTCCTAGAAAATCATCTGTGAATTACGGTATATGGCGACAGAATGGTCTTAGAGGTACCCTTTGCAACCCATTTATATGTAAAACTATGTACAATGACCACAGACAGAGCATTTACCATTACACGGTACAAGATACTTTTACAATTTATTGAGTTCTCCATGTTGGTACAGATGACATTCATCATTAATTGTCAGCACATTTTTGTCTCAGGCCTCACCAAGTTCTGGCCTGTTTTTCAGGTAGTTCTCTGCAAAATATAGAATAAACGAAAAACCAACCTAAATACATATCGTTTCGTACATCTAGTACTGCTTTACACAATATAGAACATGGGTGAATGCATCATTCAGCTAAATGCTTTATGATATTGACTTAAATTAAATGGTCATCGATAACAGAAAACTGCAAAATACTAACAAACTTCTTGTGGCATTTTTTTTTCTATCATTCTGTCATTTGTCGCATGTTGGTATAAAGTTCTACCACCCCAATACCCCATATCACATGTACTTGAGTGAAACTTCTAAAACATTACTATCATACTTCTCAACTTTACACTACTTAGTATGTACAGGAAAATCCCTAAGACAGTAAATCGACTACATTTCTTCTTACAAAGACTACTGATTATCCATCAGAGCCGTATAGAGGAATCAAAGGACTTTTCAATCCAGTAATTTGGTCATGAAGTTTCTTGCAAATGCACACTGCATTTTGTCTTTTTATTCCCATAGGTTCAACTTGTAGTTTTGTCGAGTCTTGTTGGGCATTTTTCATCAAGGCTGCTAGCTAATTGTCTTTTCAGGACAGTGAAAACGTGTGCAGTTCATGAGTTTGTGTTTCCGTGATGTAAATCACAGGATGTAATAACACAGGCCACACCAATTCAAATCATTGGTTCTCTGATTCAAAAACTAATGCTGAATAGGAGAACACATTCTGAGAAAGTCAGTGTTTTAAGGAGAGAATAGAGTCTGATTCAGGTTTTCCTCCCAGCCCTCTGGTCTTACCTGCACCTCTTGCTAGTTTTTTTTACTAAACATCTAAGAACCAAGGAAATGAATTGGTGTTGCCTTACACATGTATCTGGAAATTTGAAATCCCAACAAACCTTCCGATCAAATATGTCTATATCTACAGATCATCACAGATCAATGCTGTAACATAGACAAAAGTGAAACTTACTGTAGATAAGGTTACAAGTTTAGGTGTAGGGCTTTATACCTGGAGCCCTAGAAAAAATGTGAAAACGTCTTTGCATTTGTAAGGTGCCCAGCATTGGTGAACATTGTTGTACCCCCCCCCCCCTCTAGGACAATGCCATGGTTGGATAAGTAAGTACCCCCCTCCTTCTCTCCCCACCCCTCCCCCCTACTCCCCAGACAGGCTCATAGCAGGACACATTTTCTCTTCCTTTTGGGTTCTGGCGGCTCCAGTGCAGCCAGGATCGCTTCATCAAACACATTCTTCAACCCTTTCTGTAAACAATAAACAACAAATAACATTAACCACAATCTGTCCCTAATGTTCAAATCTTTCTTTAAACAATAAATAACATTAACAACAGGCAACACCTCATGTATAACCCATTTTGTAAACAATAGAATAACAATAGCTACAAGCAACACTTTTGTACACAATCAACAATAATAACAAACATAAATCACAAGCAAAGCCTTATTTTTAACCCTTTCTGTAAACAATAGATAACAACATTAACCACAAGTTAGCTACGCTAAACAACAAATAAAGTACTAGTAATTCTTTATTTTAGTCAACATGTTTGTCAACCCTTTCTGTCAAAGAATTATATTCTGAAAAATAAAGACAAGGCAGAGGGATGAAGGAAAGTTTTAAAAGTAACTAAGTTTTTGTGTGTCCTTACCTGTGTGAGAGCAGAACACTCCACATATTTGACAGCCTTGAGTTCCCGTGCCAGTTTCTCCCCCTGCTCAGCTGTGATGGGCTTCTGCTTGTTCTTAGCCAGCTTTTCTGTGGTGGTGGCGTCGTCCCGGAGGTCCACCTGGGTACCGACTAACAGGAATGGTGTGCGGGGACAGTGGTGTGTGATCTCAGGAACCCACTGGGGAGGAACAGCAAGGAAAATGTCAGCCCCAAGGTCACCGAGCGTTACCTTACTGTCAGTGAAGAATATGTAAATTGGACTGGAGGTCCCTTCCGTATTTTGTATAACCGAACCTCTGGAATTGAATCTGGACCTGGTCCTGAACGTGGGTTTATGTACTACCAGGGCCAGAAATACCCATGTGCAATGTGCAAAATGCACATGATTTTCAAGATTTACGCTTAAAATTTTCTTTATGCACCATATAAAATGTTTTTGAATTTTGGAAAATTCCAACAGTTACTCTAGTGCTTTTGACATGTGGAGAGTCGATGGGTGGGTAAGCTGTATAAAGCTAATGCAGAGAAATACAACAATCTTTCTTTGAATATTCTTCTTGTTTCAAAGCCTTGCATTTCAAGTTTTTTTGTTGAAAGTTGAAAATGCAAATAACACAAACAAGTATGGTCAGTGGGCTTAATTTTTGCTGGATCCTTCCACTGAGCCACCTAGAAAAGAAATTGTGTACCACTTTCAAACCAGCTGGAAAACAGTTGCAGACCGACTAAATATAATTTTGCACATAAATTTTTCAAATTGCACCAAAAATCTTTGCCGATATGCAATTTTACTTGCACCTGAAAAAAAAGTCTTTTGAGCCCAGCAGGTACACAGCACTGATAACAATTATGAAGGAAACTTGATGGATGGGAATTTGTACTTTTGACTCACCTTTTCTTTTACATTCTCAAACGATGACGGAGAAACAACCGAGAAACACACGAGGAAAACGTCTGTCTGGGGATAACTGAGCGGCCTCAACCTGTCATAATCTTCCTGACCTGCAACACAACATGGGTGTCAGTAAACAAACAAACAAACAAACAGGACTGTGAGTTACAGCAGCCTAAAACAGCATAGGGTGTAAACAGGGCTCGAAATGCTGGGTGTGTGCACTCAAATTTGGAGCTGTGCACCTATATTTTTCTGTGGGTGTACCAGTGCACCCAAATATTTTCGTAGGTTTACGTATGTAAAGATGTCAAATGTATAGTAGTATACAGCGTACTCTTAATATCCAAGTCAAAAAATTATGAAATCATTGTAATATTATAGTATATTTATTTAGAAATGAAACATGCTAAGCCTTTGCTGACATTCTACTTATATCGTGCACCCAAAATTTTTTGTCCACCTACATGTAATACCCAAATTGAATTTCGAGCAAACCAATTAATTCCCAAGTGTAAAAGGAGATTATTCTACCAATTAATAAGCTACAATGGAAGAATTTCTACCAAGTAATACTAGTAAGCTGCAACAGAAGAAATTTTTTCTAAAAAAATATCAAGACACTTTTGTCTGAAAATAAACTTTCTTGGGTCAGACTTTTTTACCCAAGTCCCTCAAAAGCAGGGGATTTAATGATCATCACATGCCAAACTCAAAGCAAATCTGATGCGTATAAACCTACCTGCTGTGTCAAACAAGCCCAGTGTGTACGGCTCTCCTCCAATCATCACAGTCACAGCATAGTTGTCAAAAACCTGGACAGTTAGGGACAAGCAGTCAGTCAGTACAGTGGGAACATGTTACACTATAGTGTTCAGTATAGAGAACATAATTATCAGAGGTTTTTCTAGGAAAATTTAGCATAAGGCAGCAGATCACTTGTATGGTGAGGGAGGAAAGGAAATTTTTTACAAGAGTATCAGTTTGTAATGCTAGAATGAATTGTTTTGTTTTTATATTTTCACTGGAAAAAGATCATTTTGAGAAAGACTTAGACCCAGTTTAGACCAGACTTATATTTAGCGGATTCATTCTTTTATTTAACCATATTATTGAACGCAAATCAACTTGTTTTTAGGGGTTTAAATCTGATTTTCAAAAACCACCTCCCGAAATGTGTTCATGTCTTTGGATTCAATGCGCAACAACTAATCATGCACTGTGGAAAGTTGTCTTTGTACATCTATTACATTCTGGTGAGAACCCTGGTTGTACTGAAATGGTTTCTGCACCGGGGACTGATCTTTCAAACATTGCAACAAAAATAGCTAACACTGACAGACTTTCAAAGCACACAAACCACACACAGCGTACACAACAGTACAGAGGGTTTACTTACCGTAGGGACATATTCTGAAGGGAACTTGTTGGTTGTATATGAGATGAGGAGGCAGGTTTTACCTACAGCTCCATCTCCCACTACCACACACTTAATGGTCTGCATGGTTACTGGTCCACTGGTACTGTAACAACAGAAATCTCACATTAAAACACTGAATTTAACTGTATTCCAACAACATCTTCAATGTAATCCAACCTTGGTAAAAACAGCAGCTATAGATGATTTTGCAAAAATCATCTTGAACCAATGTATTGCAGTTCTGTGAAATATTATGGCATGTATTCTATAGCATAGTATAGCAGATTATTAGTATACTGCGAGCACGGCGGTTTCGCTTCAGCATCTTGGTTTGCGCCTGCGCGAAAATTTGAATTTTGAATTCCGCGCCATGCGCCACCTACGGCCGCGGCCGGTACTGCAGCCGAGTCCCCCATTGTTATGTGCGCACCAACTTTGACCAACCATAACTCGCTAATCCGGTCACATGACGGGCTGAGTTTGTAGAAGAAGGCAGCCATGTTTGCAGGCTTCGTGTGGGAAGTGTTTCATGGAAGTCCGCCTAAAATATCGCGGTGCTTGGACAGACGGCAGCGACGTAGCGTACAATGGCGAGATTACACGAAGCGGGAAGTGAAGGCCAAGTTCAGCCCGTGTTTGGTTACCTTTTCCAAGTTTTCCCGTGGATGAAACCTCCTGAAACCTGAAATCGATCTGTTTGCACGTGTTTTGGTGGAGAGAAACCCTCGTCTACTTTTTTTTCTACAACGCCGGAGATTACAGCAAAACAGGTGAGTACTAGGCATTTTTTTTACATAATTACTAATCTGCATATCCCCCCACGTGACGTTATCTTAGTAGGCGGTGATTAGATTACGGATTTCGTGAAAGTAAATGCACCAGGGATCGAGGAAAGGCATTTGTTTACGTGTAAACAAGCCCTGTTAGTGTTACAAATAGTTTTAAAAAATCTGGTACCGGTACAGAGTGTACAGAATGTTCCTATTCTAGGTCTATATGATCGTTCTAGTTCGGAAGATCGATTTGAGCCAAAACTTTTCAGGTCGTTCTGCAAATATTCAGGCACAATATTATTACTCCCCTAGTCTTCAAAATAAATGTATGCAGTGCTGACCCTCCTTATAAAGATACAAGTAGAGTTATGAATCTTGAACACAACTTGTTAAGTGGTAGGTCACAATATTTTGTCTATCCATGTAAAATGATGTCAAGAGTTTGCACATTCTTGTGTGTGTAAATGTGTAAATATTGATAACAGGCACAACAGGAAAGCTCATAACCAGGCTTTACCAATTTTACATTTTCATATACAGGGCTCAGCATATTTTTCTGTTTCCTGTAATAATACAACAATGTACTATGTCAAGCTTGTTTCATTTTTTTTTCCAATGTCAAATTGGACTGCACAGCGAAATACAAACTGCTCGCACAGTAGATCACAGGGCTCGAAATTCATGTTTGGTAATACTAGTTCAGCTAGTGCACCCAACCTAACCTTTGTGTGCACTATATAAGATAAAATAAGTAGAATGTTAGCTAACACTGCTAAAGAAAAGTACTTTAACAATGCTATTCTTATTTTTCTAAATCTGACACTGTTAAGAATATGTTGTATATAGAGCTGTGTACCTAAACAAATTTTAGATACAGGTACAGGTACACACTAACACAGGTTTAGGTACAGGTCTGGACCTGAAACTGTACCTGAACAATTCGTGCTCTTCTGAACTCCTCCTTTAACAAGAAAACATTAATACACTTAGTTTTTCCGAGACAGCCGTAGCTGTATACATTTAAGTAACATTTTTACTTACATCATCATCCTCCATCATACATATACCTTTGAAAATATTATGGTGCACTAAGGTGCACATGCAGTGATGCACCCAGTATTTTATTTTCAGAGCCTTGGCTTACTTACAACAAGATGCCTTAACATTACAAAGTATTTGCAAATTCAACATAATTAGATATTTTTAGAGACCCAGGTTTGACATATCTTTCAATACATTTTGCATCAGAAATATTGCAAGGTGTTGGACTACATACACTGATCAGGTGCATCTAGATTATAACATCAGGTACAAGCACAGGTAAAGCGTAAAGGTTACTGGTACATAGGTTTACATACAGGCATGGGTAGGCTAGATAAGTAACAGTATTATTATTATTATTAACCACAAATGACTAAATTATCTATACTACAGAGTCCTCTTTCTCTTCACAGGCTCAGGAATCTTGCCCGTGTGGTCTGGGCTGACCTTTAGCAGGTGTGCCTTCAGTGTAGCCTTCAGCCGTGCAACAGGGTCAGCGATGGAACGTGTTGACTGGGAGATGTGGTTGAACTGTGCGTGCACTTCTTCAATCCCCTGCTCTGCCAGAAAACCAAGGCCGAAGCCCCAGTGGCGGATACACGGGACCACATGATCTTCCAGTAAGTGCATCTTTATACTCACGGATTTGGAATCCCTCCGGTAGTGCGACATAAACTCTTTTATGTCGTGCGCTAGAAGAATGTCAAAATATATATTTATTCAAAGATTGTGTTAAATCCTGAATAAGACTAAGAGTAAAATTGAAGGAGCCATCCCTCTCTTTTTATTTTATATTGATAAAAAATTGCCGCAATACTAATACCCCAGGTACTCCAGCAACACACATGACACTTAGAGTCAGCTCTAATTGTTTGCTCCTGTTTTATTAGCCAATGTGGCCAAACTGAATAGTTCCAAACTTTTGTATCCATAATAGATGACAGTGTTACCTAGCTGGTCCATCTCTCTCTCCTCTATCCGATCACCACGGGAGTACACCCTGTGGCACTTA